CCGTAAATCTCTCCTGAGTAATTACGACAATTTACTAGACGCACTCTCCCGAGCTACGCTAGCTGGCTTTTAATACAGCTCACTTCAGATCGCACCCAAGGCTTCGTTATCCCTAATCCAACATTTAAACCCTCGGTTATTGATCCCTCATATACTCTTGGAGTGGTGTTGTTCAACAACTACCTAAATATGCACTCTCTCCCAAGTTATGCATACTAAATAGGCACAGCTAATTGAGAGCTCTTCAATCAACCAGAATATAAACGTAGTTGAACAAATAGAGAAAAGCTATGGCTCAATTATATAAAACATAACAAGAATTTATCCTACAAAAGGTTCTATCAAAACTCTAGATAACAAATTAGTTATTCATAATAGTATGTAAAACTACAATACTAAAAGTCATAACCAACAATGAAAAAAATAGGAAGAGGAAGGAAAAAACTCGTAGAAGAATTTCCGCCTTGCTCCCAATGTGTTCTTGCCTCCAAGGGTGTTGTCTAACCCTAAAGTAGTGTCTCTCCGCCTCCTTAGGTCTAATTTGTGTCCAAAATATGTCCTCCTCAAGTCTTCGTTCGTATTTAATTATCAAATTTGACCTCCGAACACGATCCCGGCTTAATTCCTTGAGCTTTTACTCAGACTTCAAAGCTTCAAATCACTTAAATTCATTTCATAACATCTATATAGCTCGGAATCACACCTACAAGGCATAAAACACACAATTAGTGCAAAACACTAGCGATTAAAGCGCAAACTCAATTAAAGTGCTGTAAATTCGAGTGTAATAAGCGACTAAAATATGCAATTATAGCCTATCATCAAAAATATACTGGAGACCGGAGCACTGGTGCTCCAAACTCCAGTATATTATACTGGACCATTATACTTGCTGGAACTCCAGTATATTATGCTGGAGTTCTAGTGTATTTATGCTGGAACTCCATCATATTATGCTGGAGTTCCAGCATACTATCCTGGAACTCCAGTATAATATGCTGGAGTTCAAGTATACTTATGCTGGAACTCCAGCATAATATACTGGAGTATTTTCCGGGTTTTGAACAGTGTTTTCGCTCAGATTTATCTTTACATAAAAAGTGGCTAAATTTCGATTACTTTTGAAATTGGGCTATTTTTGAACAACCAGTTGTAAATCTGGCTATTTTTAAAAATCACCCATTGTTTTGTTGAGTCTTAGTGGGCCTTTGGACATAAGAATTGTAAAATTCCAAAAAAAAAAGTGGAAAAAAATTTCAAGTGAAAATAGTATTTGAAAATTAGAGTTGTGTTTGGATATGGATATAATTTTAGATTGTTTTTTATGTTTTGTGAGTGATCTGAGTGAAAATTTTGAAAAAAAAGCTTTTTGGAATTTTTCAAATTTTCAAAAAATTTCAAAATACGTCTTCGAGTGAAAATTGGAAATTTTTATGACCAACGATGTTTCGAAAAAAAAGTGAAAATTTTTTGAAAAAAAGGGAAAATGTCTTATGTCCAAACGGGCTCTTAAATTAGATAAGGTCATGAGTTGAATTCTACTTAATTAAATTTTTAACCACAGAAGCTCTCTCAAATATTTGCAAAAAATACTTGCTATTTGAGGTTCAACCCTCTAACTCAGGAACATAACCAACACTGCAGGAGAGAATCTGTGTTAACTTATGTAATTTTTTCCTACTTATCCATTTCCTTGCAGTATTAATACATATATTTTTGTAAAATTTTCCGACGAAGCGGTGTTGCGTGACACGACTTCGTTGAACGTGTGTCTACCGCTGACCAACATTTAGCATTGTCTAACTATGATTACTTTTCTAAATATCAAATTCAGATACAAATAGAGCTAAATAGATATAGTAGATTTATATAGTCGACCTCAACTAACTTGAGATAGAGTTATTATCAAAGTGCAATGACATAATAACTGTTGAAGTAATCTGAATATCAATTACTTAATGAAGGAAGTCCTTTTCAGAACTAACAAAATCCAGAGACTCTTTTCAAACTCAAGTTGAAATTTAGACCATACTTGAATCAAAGTTGATCCATGGGAAAAACTTATCTTTTCATTCTGAACATCAAATTACAAATCACACTTGCTCCCACTAGATCAAGATTTGGCAAGATTCTAAAACAATACCTTATTATCTGTATCTTCCCTATTTTTCAACAAAATATAGTTTCAAGCTAAAGAAAAGATACAACGACAACAACAACATATCCAGTGTGACCCCACAAGTCGGGTCTGGAAAGGGTGGAATGTACGCAGACTTTATCCCTGCCTTTATGGGATAGAGAAGATAAAGTCCCAAAATATAGCATTTGATGCTTCTCAGCGAGACACATTTTTGTTTGAACCAATAGGAAGAGAAAGGCAGTATAGTTTCTCAAATACCAAGCATCCAATGTCACGGGTTCGAGCCGTGGAATCAGCCACTGATGCTTGCATCAAGGTAGGCTACCTAGATCATACCCCTTGGAGTGCGGCCCCTTCCCCTGACCCTCCGTGAATGTGGGATGCTTCATGCACCGGGCTGCCCTTACCAAGTAGCCAATGAAATTATGCTCGAAATGCCAAATCATTGATGCTTAACGCGATTCTTCTCATGAACATATAGCTGTAGATAGAAAACACAAACACAAGTTGCTTTACGCAAATCTTCAACCTCCTCTCCTCTCTCCCTAAAACCAACGGAGTGGCGGTAGAAGGGTGAACAAAAGGAAGAATAGGTAATTCTAGTCTTTCTCATGCAGTAGCTAACATCACCGGAACAGGAGCAAAAGAGAAAACACCAAAACAGAAGGGATCTAAATATGTACCAGCATGGTTAACCCTGTAAACTTTGACAAAGATGCAAAATTTCCTTGTGTTTAAAGAAAGAGACACAACAAAAGATAAATAGGCAAAAAAGCGAAATTTCCGAGACCCAAAAACAGTTAGCAAAACAGCAAATATTAACAAAATTAAGAAGTTAAACAAGTGCTAGAATAAGAGAAGCAATGCAGTAGTTCATTTGCATCATAATTAGAAGACTATGACACAGTTGCCAACTTCGATCACAACAAGCCACGTAGAGGAACTCCAGCGGCAAAGGAGTGAAAGATAATCGCATGGAGCAAAGTCAGTTACCAACATTATCATCACCAAGATTACATTGCAGAAAGACCCCTCAAGGACCAGTGAGACCTGGTACTTTTGCTGCAGCTATTGCTCACTTTATCGTAAAGTATCGTGTAATTTGAGCTGCTTATGTTCCTCGAGTAGCACAACGAATCTTCTTTATATTTATATACTTGTTGAGTACTCCCAATTCCTTTGACTACTAACTGGCCTTTTACTAGCATATAACCCTGCGCTTTTTGCAAATTCTTAACAGAGCTGGTCGATGATCCATACTCTGAATCTTTTACCCTCTTTTCATCAAATCCCAATGTCAAGTTTGATATCGAGGCATAGCTTTCGTTTCCTTGATCTACATTGTCAGTATACCACTGAAATACATACTTTTTGAAGGACTTAAGCGAGTGAACAGAAGAAGATGGTGTCTTAGCATAAACAGTGTCATTAAAATCAATTATCTGATTCACTATTTGCAAGTTCCCTTCATTTCCCATTACCATATAGTTGTTATAACTTAAACGTTGAGACGACTTAGTAGTGATTGTGCCATAAGACGATTTTACCCATCCGGTCAATGTGATGGACCGACTAGCATTCGTGATAAAGGATCCATCATAACCTGTAAAATTACTCAGCAGTGAAAACAAAACAGGCGAGTAACTATACTTCAACAACTTCCCTTCTGTTTTCTTACTCTTTTCGTCCAACCAAAGATGCAAATTTGCATCAACATACCACACATTCAGAGCATTTGTGACACGAAACGAAATCTTGTGACCATTTCCATCTAAAATCTTTCCTAACAATGGCGTAATCTCAATATCATACGAAGGAAGATCGAACGAGCCAATTCCACTAATCGGTCTCCAAAAGAGGGGATTAGCACCCCCGGTATAAATCACAGTAAAAGGCCAAACTACACCAACAACCATATCATCCAAACTAATCACCACCTCTCTAAAAGCTCCATTTCCCGGAATATTAAGATTATTCGATTTTATATACTCATTAGGTGGATTTGCATACCAAGATTCATCATTCTCATGAAATGAAACATAAACTTCTAATACTGCCCTATACACATTTTGAGGAATCTTGAATTCCTTTGACTGTATATCTGTTGAATTTTCAATCTCAAACCACAAACCATCATTTAACTTCAGATTTCTTGAAATGGGTATAATCAAATCAGCCCCAGAATCAAAATTACCCAACTTCAGCTCATTATAGAAATGAACAAAAATTTTCACATGGTAAACTCCAGTATAAGTAATATCAACAATATTTCCAAGATAAACAGCAAGTGTTTGATTTTTTATAAGTAAAGAATAATACCTAGTAATATCCTTTTTCACTGTCCAAATAATTCCAGTAGCAGTTGGTTCAGCAGTACAACTTCTGAGAATTTCAACACCACTAAGCCAAACACCAAAAATTCTATCAAATTGCCTTCCTTTACATGTTGCTTTCCATTCTAATACAATCTTGGAAAATTTCTGAGATGGGCAATTTAAAGGGGGTGTGTAATTTGCAAGAATTGGTGGTTTTCCATAAGTGAAACCAAAGTCATGTTCAAGAATTAAGTGTGAACAAGGTTTGGTTTTGGGGAGTTTTATAGGTTTTGTGACTTCAAAAAATGTTGTTGGAGAGGTATTATTTGGTAAAGAATTTAGCTGAGTGATGAGTTGTGGTCTAAAGAGAGAAGAAGTGTGGAGATTTGCTGTGGAAAAAAAGGGTTGTTGGAGTAGCAAGAAATAAACTAAGAAAATTAAAGAAATAGCCATTGATGGTAGTTTTGAGCATAAGCAGGTGAATATAGTGTAGATGTAGAGTAAAGAATGAAGTATCAAGACAATGAAATTTTCTGGTTTGCTTTGTTTGGTATGATTGACTTGAGATTCACAACTTGTTAGTTTTTTTGTTTTTTTCGCGCAGATAAAGAAATTTACCTATTAACATTAATTAACAATGAAATTAACTATATTAACCTTTTACTATCTCTTCACATATATACTGCTAGCACACACTCCAACACTATTTACTTCAAGGGCAATGTAGGAAAAAAATAATTAATTCATTCTTGAAATCTGGAAAAATCACTTATTTTGAACCACAAAAAAAAGGCAAAAAAAATAACTTATTGTAGACCGGAGAGAGTAGTAGTTTAGTTGCTAGAAAAATATAGTTACTCCATTTTAATTTATATAAAATACTTTCCTTATTAGTATGTTTCAAAAGAATGACATATATTGGAAAAGTTGCATTATGTTGGTCGAGCAATTATGACTTTATTTTTGACTCATTTTAACCGAAGCAAACTTTAAGAGAATTGGATCATGACTCATTTATTAATTTAACATATTGCTTTGCCACCCTTACACATAAGTAATAGCCAGTGTTATGGTTAGAAATATTGAAGGGTGGTCAACCGAATACCCTTCATCGAAATATTATACTGTTTATATAGGTTAAAATTTCGTACTGACGTGCCACATCCAAGGGGAGATGTCGTGGTACATGTTATTTCCAGATGATAATTAGAGGTATGGAGGCAGGCCGTGGAATCTAAAGGTTTCAAGTTGAGCAGGACCAAGACGGAATACTTGGAGGGTAAGTTCAGTGGCGAAACTCAAGGAGGGGAAGGGGAGGTGAGGCTGGACTCGCAGGTCATCCCCAGGAGAGGGAGTTTTAAGTACCTTGGGTCTATGGAGAGATTGATGAAGATGTCACACATCGTATTGGGGTGGGATGGATGAAATGGAGACTCGCTTCCGGTGTTTTGTGTGACAAGAAAGTGCCAAAACTCAAGGGTAAGTTCTACAGAGTGGTGGTCAGACCAACGATATTGTATGGGGCTGAGTGTTGGCCAGTCAAGATCGCTCATGTCCAGAAGATGAAGGTAGCGGAGATGAGGATGTTGAGATGGATGTGCGGCACACCAGGTTAGATAGGATCAGAAATGAGGTTATTCGCGACAAGGTGGGTGTGGCTTCTATTGAGGACAAGATGCGGGAGGCGCGGCTTAGGTGGTTTGGTCATGTGAGGATGAGGAACACAGACGCCCCGGTGAGGAGGTGTGAGAGGTTGACATTGGAGGGCCTACGGAGAGGTAGAGGTAGGCCAAAGAAGATGAGGGAGAGGTAATTAGGCAAGACATGGCAGCTTCAGCTGACCGAGGACATGACTCTTAAAAGGAAGGTATGGAGGTCGAGGATTAGGGTAGTAGAGTAGGTAGTCTACAGTGTTCATAAGAGAAGTATTGGCACGCAGTCTTGCTTTCTGAGGGTAGTAGGTTTTATGACTAACCGTTGTTTTCTTTCATTGTTGATCACATTACTGTCTTGTTGTTTTTATTCTGCTTTTATATGGCTTTTTGGTACTGTCCTTTCTTGTTTATATTTTCATTAATGTGGTGCTTATGCTTTCCTGAGCCGAGGGCCTATTGGAAACAGTCTCTCTATCCTCACAAGGTAGGGGTAAGATCTGCCAGACCCCACGGTGAAGGATAATACTGGACATTTCGTTGTTGTTGTTGTATAGGTTAAAATTTATTTTTTATATGCATATATATATATTTTAAAACATCCTTTGCGATATTCCTAGCTTTGCTACGGGTAATAGCCAAAAATAGAAAACCTAAGCAAACTTAAGGAAGTACAAGTGTTATACTTGCAACTTTTTGTTGTAACCTGCAATTATAAGTAATTTTATCTGTATTATACTTGCAACTTTTAGTATGGGATTAAAACTTAATTATTATTGTTAATTTGGGAAGAATATTCTTTAAAAAATCATTTTTGCCAAACATTTTATTTACATTTTCATCATTTAGTCATTTAAAATATTTTCTAAATTCCAAAGAGTGTTTAGATTCTTCTGAAAAATAATTTTCAGAAAATATTTCATGTTATAAAATAAAAATTGTAAAGTAAATAAATTAAAGACAAGTATAGAGAGAGATTGATGTATTATTCAACTTCAAACTCATATACATAATGAACTGAAATCTCCTCTAATTACAGACGAAAGGAAGCTGCTGTGTAAGTTGCTTGTAAGCTGCTACTGCAAGCTGCTGTGTAAGCTGATTGTAAGTTGCTTGTAAGCTGCTACTGTACCAGATATAGATAATCTTCTACCGGGGTAATATTTTATCCATAACGGAGTACCGAAATGATAAGCTTATTCAGGAGGCTTATTTTCAATAGAGTACTAAATAGACAAACATATTTACAGCGGAGTCCCATATGGATAAGCTTCTTGAGGAAGCTTATTTATAACGGAGTACTAAATGAACATCCATAATATATATATATATATATATATATATATNGAACATCCATAATATAATATATATATATAACACCCCCTCTTGGATGTTCATTAAAAGATAATGTGCCTCGTTAAAATCTTACTATGAAAAACCCAGTGGGAACAAATTCAGTGAAGGAAAAAGAGTACACATATTTAGTAATACGAATTGCTGGCTGCCTCATTAAAAACCTTATAAGGAAAACCCTGTGGGAAAAAATTCTTAGTAAGGGAAAAAGAGTACAGCGCGTATTTTACTCCCCTTGAAGAAAACCTTGTTTCAAATATTTGAGTCTTCGCATTCTAATCTTGTATATTATCATCTCAAAAGTTAAAGTTGGCAAAGATTTAGTGAATAAATATGCTGGATTGTCACTTGAACGGATTTCCCGGTTTGAGATCGAGCTTTATAGGGATCGGATAAATAACCTGCATCTGCATAACCAATAAGATATGCACAACCTTTGTTAGCATTAGCAAGATACATAAGTGCATCAATTGCACTGAGATAGAGTATTTGAGGACCAAGGAGTTCCTCATCCTCTTCTGGTGGTCGGTACAGATCCTTATTCACTTCAAGTGATCGGACACCCATTGGTGTACTTAATGGGTGCTCTTTGTCCATGTAAACCGTTTAAACCCTGTCTGTATATGCAGATTGATGGATAAAGATACCTTCTGCTAAATATTCAATTTGCAGACAAGACAAATTTTTATTTTTCCAAGATCTTTCATCTCTAATTCTTTCTTAAGATATTCAATTGCCTTTTGGAGCTCTTCTGGAGTTCCAAAAAGATTTATGTCATCAACATAAACAGCAAGTGTAATAAATTCTGATGACATTTTCTTTATAAAAATACATGGACAGATAACATCATTTGTGTAATCTTCTCAGCAAATATCCACTGAGACGATTATACCATATGTGTCCTAGATTGCTTTAAACCATACAAAGATCTTTATAATTTGATCGAGTACATTCCTCAAGACTTTGAATTATATGCTTCAAGCATTTTAAATCCTTCTGGGATCTTCATATAGATTATCAAATGAGTCATATAGGTTATGACTAGCATTTAAATGGCATGACATCTTCGGGTGTCTGGACTACAGGTCCGATCCTCATAATCTTTTATAATATTGTGCACTATATTGTATCAAATATATTGTCGACGATCATTTTGTATCGGTTCCTAAGCGACATAACTTGTTGAGATCTCATCACTTTCTTTATTTTCAGGTACCTGAACTTCTTCTGGAGTTTCATAAAATGTTATGTAGTGGGCTCTTCTAGATCTCATTTTCTCCCCATTATGGTCATTTTGATCATTTGCTCCTATCATTTTTCAAGGATTGTTACCTTTGGAACCGATTGATTTACTACGCTTCATGCGCGTAGTAAACTTTATCCTTCAGGGACTTTAGTTTTAATAGGAGCATTTGCAGCTGAAATATGATATTTAATTTTGGATCAGCAAATGCTTCTGGCATTTGTCTTGAATTATCTTCTAAGTGAGGATTATATTAATGATAATTCGATTCATATAACATATTTTCCAGTTGTTTATTCCATCCCCCAAATGTTAGAAAAACTAACATATATCTCCAATCTTCTTTGGGAAACCTATCTTTGTGCATTGTGGTAGAGAAGTTAATCATATACCACACATCAAAAGTTATTAGATAGTAAAAATATTTGGTTTCTGATCCTAAACCAATTGTGAGGGGAGAACTTATCATATATTGTTGTCCCAGTGCATACAAGTGCTGTTGTATACAATTTAGAAAATCTTAGACCAACACATGAAACTTTATTCTCATAAGCAATAGTTTAGCCATTAATAGGAAGTATTCAGTGCTAAACTAGATTGGATATAAACCAGCATCTTCAAGAAGAACTATCTTGATTTCATAATCTGAAAATTATTCTCTTAATTGAGAAAAGCAATTTCAAATGCCAAACTGCTGGTTGATAATAAACACACATGTAACCACTCATATATGCATCTATAAGTGGTTCACATGATAGATGAATGGGCCCATATTCACCTTCTATATATTCCAGAATTCAGGGGTCTTAGTCCCAACTTTAGCTGGTATAATCAATTTATTATGAGAACAAGCAACACAAGAGAATTCTTGAAGAATCTTCTAGTTTTTCAGTATATGCTTATCTGAATTCTCAAATAGCTCATTTAAAAATGGCACATGAAAACTCAAGTTTATCATGGCAGATGCTATCTCTTAGTAAACTTCTGGTTTACTATGGCATAAACTTTTGCATTAGTAAACTTCTGATTTACTGTGGCTACTTTTGTATCAACGAATTTCTTATGTACTGTAGCTATTTTTGCCTCAGTAAAACTTCTGATTTACTGTGACCGCTTTTGCATTAGTAAACTTCTGGTTTACTGTGATATATGATATAGTACAAATTGAAGAATAAGGTGGGTAACTTCTCACATACATATTATTTTACCCCCTATGATTGTGGAAACATGAAGATTTTCAATTTTTCAGTCATTTGTAGTCTCAATATAATAGCCATTTGTATTAGTAAACTTTAAGTTTACTGCAACATATGTTTTGACCATAATCATAAAACATGAATGACATATTTGTATATAAGATCTTCGAGAGCCTTCATTTATTATCCACAATCTAATATTTATCAGACACTACTGGTGTCATGTGTCTTCTAGACAAACAGCTAGCTCTTCAGAAGTTGTTGATACATTTTGTACTATCAAATATTGCTCAGACACTTCTAGTATCATGAGAGAAAATCATAACCAAACAATATAAAACAATTGTTTAAGCACAAGAAAACACCTCTTCATAATATTTTCCTACTTCAGGAGGAAATTTCAATTGTGTTACTTCTTCAGGAGCAAATTTAAAATATGAAATATTGAGAATATATTCTCTCAATCATATTAACTCTTATGGAGGTGAATTGTAATATATTTACATCAAGAGCGCGTTTATATTTACGACTTTATTAATATTATAACACTCACTTCGGGGAATGGATTAATATTTGTCAAAAATTCCCATCCTTCAGGGAACAGAACATAAATATCTGAACGTACATTAATCATATCAAATTGTGAGCTTCAACCTCTTTTAAAATATTTATTACTTCAGGAGCAAATCGAGGCGTGCATGTAATATAGAGAATATTTCTGTAGCTTATCTTTAATTGTAACCATATAAAGCCCGAATTATCACTTCTGGTGGTCATAGGCATATACCACTTCCGTGGTTAACAAAATTTAGTTGCAATGAGATATATGAAACATAACCACATCTGGTGGTTGTATATTTCTTGCAAACTCTGCTGGAGTTTAAGTGGATCTAACAATGTTATCCACTTTGTAATCCTTTATTAAGATAAATAGGATGAAAAAAAATATACCAAAATATGTATTGTATACGTAACACATAACCAAGCAGGTGATGATAAAGATATTAAAATATAAGCAAAAGACAAAAATTAAATTGAGCAAAGTTGGCCACTCCAGATGTAAGTGATATCTACATCACCACTGCCAAGAAGAAAAACTCATCACCTTAAGGACATAATCTGCCTTACGATACACGGAATGAACAAGATCTAACCACGGAGGTAAGAGCGTCGCCTTACATCGGAGATGAATACTGAAATTGAATTTATTCGGAGATGAATACTGAAATAGAAATTAAATTCAAAGTAAGTGCTCAAAATGGTAGAGTCTCGTGCTGATAACGTGTTATAAAATAAAAACTATAAAGTAAATAAATCGAAGACAAGTATAGAGAGAGGGATTGATGTATTATTCAACTTCAAACTCATATAGATAATGAACTGAAATCTCCTCTATTTATTAGGGGTGTGCGTTCGGGCAGTTCGGATTAAATATAGAATTTCGGTTTGGATTTTCGGTTTTCGAATTGAAGAAATGACAATCCAAATCCAATCCAAATAAGCTCGGATTGGATAGGATTTTTTAAGTTCGGTTTCGGATTAATCGGGTTGGATATTTTGGATTTTCGGTTTTTAGCTTATAAGTTGACATGTTCCTTCTTTTTACAAAAATGAATATCCAAATGAAGTACTCATATTAAATTGCCTGAAAAGTTACTCATTTTCATCGCAATCATCCAAATAAAGCATTCAAGTAATGAAATTACTATCAAGAAAATGCAACAGAGACATTAATACGGCCGATAAGAAATAGTAATAGTAAAACCATGTCCAAATAGAAAGTATTCTGACAGTAACTTAGTAATTAATATTGCATATATGAAATAATATTTAATAGATAGGGCATTTAACTTATTATTATTGACATATGGATAATGGACTACATATAAATTATAAACTTTTCGGATTTTCGGATATCTAAAAATCAAAAGTACCGAATCCAACATTCAATCCGAAATAAAAAATAATTAAAAATTAAATCCAAAATCCAATCCATAATCCGAAAATTCAAACCAAAAATCTAAGAGATTCGGATTTCGGTTTGGATTTCGGGTTTGCCCAAACTATGCCCACCCCTACTATTTATAGAAGAAAGGAAGTTGCTGTGTAAGCTACTACTGCAAGCTGCTGTGTAAGCTGCTACCACAAGCTGTTGTGTAAGCTGCTACTGCAAGCTGCTACTGCAAGCTGCTGTGTAAACTGCTACTGCAAGCTGCTGTGTAAGTTTCTACCGTACCAGATATAGATAATCTTCTACCGGGGTAATATTTATCCATAATGGAGTGCCGAAATGATAAGCTTCTTCAAGAGGCTTATATCCAATAGAGCACTAAATAGATAAACATATTTACAACTAAGTCCCATATGGATAAGCTTCTTCACGAAGCTTATTTACAATGGAGTAAAATGAACATCCATAATATATACTCCCTCGGTTCCAATTTATGTGAACCTGTTTGATTCGGCACTGAGTTTAAGAAAAAATAAAGACTTTTGAAATTTGTGATCCCAAACAAGTCAAAAAGGGGCCTACGGTATTTATGTGTTTATAAAAACTTCTCATTAAGGGTAGAATTGTAAGTTTAAGCTAAATTATTTTCAAATTAGAAAGGGGTCATTCTTTTTTGGAACGGTCCAAAAAGAAAATACGTTTACATAAATTGAAACGGAGGGAGTATATATTTATACACGTTTCAAAGCTTATTCCAAACACAAAAAATGTAACATAAACCATGTTATAACAGCATAAAAATACAAACAGGCGCAAGTAAAATAAATAATCCCATAATCACGCAAAACCCCTTTTCGGTTACCGGCGGCCATTTCATTCGCCGGAACCCTTGAATTTTCCTCCTTAATCCTTAAATTTCCGGCGATTATTCTCTACCGTTTATCACAAAATGTCACGTTTTCCAACTGATCGATACGATGAGCAAAGATTAATTCAAGAAGTTCTCTACCTCCATTCTCTTTGGCATCAAGGACCTCCTCGACCCCACCCCCACCCCTACCCCCCTATCCCAACCCCTACCCCAACACCAACACCAACCCCAGTGAGTCTACAACCCTCCAGTTCAATCCAATTTAAGAAACAGAAGAAAAAATCCAAAAAGCTCAAAGAAACAATTACAGATTCTGGTATTGAATGGCCTTGTCCCAAAACCCCAACTGAAACCCCTGTAGTAACGGATTCGGGTTGGCCCACTTTCACAACCCAGTTAAATGCCCAACCCCATTTGCCTACTTCCCAAGAATTGTCCCATTTCGCCTCGAATCAAGCCCATCAACATGCTTTGAAAGCTGTATCTGAATACTTAAGGTGCTCAACTAATGATGAGGATGATGATAATGATAGTGAAAATGATGATGAGGTTGATGAGGGGGATAAAGATTATAACTTTTTCGCGAAATTGTTTAGGGAAGATGGTGTATTGAGAGAGTACTATGAGAAGAACAAAGAGAATGGTGGTGAATTTAGTTGTCTTGTGTGTTGTGGGGTTGGTAAGAAAGGGTGGATGAAGAGGTTTAAGGATTGTGTGGCTCTTGTTCAGCATTCTATTACTATAGCTAACACGAACACGAGGCGAGCTCATAGGGCTTATGGTCAGGTCATTTGCCAAGTTCTTGGATGGGATATTAATAGGCTTCCGTCGATTGTTTTAACTGCAGGTGATAATAAGTCTAGTGAATCTTCTGATAAACTGGCAGAGGCACAGGTAATTTACTGATATTCCATTTGGTTTATCAAGGCATAATCATTGTTGTTATAGTTTGCTTTATGTAATATAGGGATAAGTGTGAGTATAGACTCTTTAGTTTAGAGAACCCCAATGAAATAGAAATTGGCACTTTACCATAGGTCTTGTGCTCTTTAGGAGTGGTTTAGCCTTTTGGAGATTTTTGTGTTTAGAAAAGACACAGAAATTCTAATACTTTTTATTTGTATTGGAATGAGATGAGTTTAAATGAAGTAACATGGCTAGTGAGAATTCATATAGCAGACCCCAACTAATTTGGGATTGAGGCATAGTAGTTATAGTTGTATGTATTGGAATGAAATCTGTCCCAAAAGACATATAGAGAGTTCCTGTTGTCAACAAGGTAGTTTGGGGCAGTTGATTGAATGATAGTCATTACCAATTGAGAGTGGAGAATTCATCATTTCTTGAGCTCGGATGTCAAGATGCTGACATTGTTGAGATTTTTAGAAGGTGAGGTCTTTGGTGGTTCTTTTTTTCTTTTGGG